TTTTTTTTTTTGTGTGTAAAATTGTGATCGGGGTTGATCCCGAAGATGAATAAAAATTGGTGTTGTGAAAATTTGTAAATTGTTTGGTTTTTTTTTTTTTTTTTTTGGTGTAAAATGGTGATCGGGGTGAGCCCCGACATGAATAAAAGGTTTTGTGTGTATGTTTTTATTTTATTTTATTTTTATTTTATTTTTTATTTATTTATTTATTTATTTCCTGTTGGTTTAATTATGCTTATTTGATTTGAAGAGACATGGGTTCAAATAATTGCTCTCTGTATCTCATCACAGTAGGGGGCACACTTTTCCTCTGGTGTATGCCATGCTTTGGTGTTGCTCATGGTATCGAGAGAAACATAAAGTCTAATCTATATTGGGAACTAAAATTTGTCAATTCTTTTAATGGGACTAACAATCTGTAGAAACATATTGCTGTCCATGTTGAGTTTCAGTTTTCATTGGCTGAAGGCTCCCATCCAAAGATGCATTTATTGATGGTTGTGAAAATGTACCTTTTAAGACAATGTAGGAAACACTGTCAGTTATTGGTACAGATGTAGTTGTTGTTTCTCAGTATTGCTATAAAACCTAGCTGTCGAAATGATAAATTGATATATACAAAAAAACCATAACCAGTATTATTGATCTATGAATAGGGGTAATAAGGATAATGTTATTTTGTCCAGTAGTTTTCAGCAGCTTTATTATTGACTCATAACTTGCTTGATGGTTTGGTCAGCAAATCAACATGTTGACTTCAATGTATACTGATTGGCCTCAATATCAGTTTGCACCGCCATTTTTTGCTCCACCGACCGCATCGGAAAGTTCAACGGAGCAAAACCAGAGGTGTTTGGTTGAGGTTCACTGGCCACCGCACCAGTTATTTCTCTTGTGGACTCGTTCAATTCTGGAAAGAGCGTGAGCAGACCACGGGAAGAGGAGGCCATGTTCTGGGTAGCTGGACGGGAAGAAGAGGCCATGTTGCTGAGTGTTTCAGAGACGGGTTGGTTACAGAGTATTACAGAGTTTCTCTCTCAGTAAAGGAAGAGTTTTTTCAGAGGATTTTCAGAAGTTTTTTTGTCTGCCTCAGCCTCAGCATCAACCTTGGTTAAATAGACGGGGCAGCCACGCGTATCGCGCGCTACTTGACGCCAGACGACAAACGGGCGCGCCAGCCAAGGCACTCACGTTGGGCACGCCTTTTGATGGCACGCCTTTTTTATGGATTGGGCACGCCTTTTGATGGCACGCCTTTTTTATGGATTGGGCACGCCTTTTGATGGCACGCCTTTTTTATGGATTGGGCACGCCTTTTGATGGCACGCCTTTTTTATGGATTGGGCACGCCTTTTGATGGCACGCCTTTTTTATGGATTGGGCACGCCTTTTGATGGCACGCCTTTTTTATGGATTGGGCACGCCTTTTGATGGCACGCCTTTTTTATGGATTGGGCACGCCTTTTGATGGCACGCCTTTTTTATGGATTGGGCACGCCTTTTGATGGCACGCCTTTTTTATGGATTGGGCACGCCTTTTGATGGCACGCCTTTTTTATGGATTGGGCACGCCTTTTGATGGCACGCCTTTTTTATGGATTGGGCACGCCTTTTGATGGCACGCCTTTTTTATGGATTGGGCACGCCTTTTGATGGCACGCCTTTTTTATGGATTGGGCACGCCTTTTGATGGCACGCCTTTTTTATGGATTGGGCACGCCTTTTGATGGCACGCCTTTTTTATGGATTGGGCACGCCTTTTGATGGCACGCCTTTTTTATGGATTGGGCACGCCTTTTGATGGCACGCCTTTTTTATGGATTGGGCACGCCTTTTGATGGCACGCCTTTTTTATGGATTGGGCACGCCTTTTGATG